GGCCAAGCCGAATATCAATAAAAATACTCTTTCTCTACAATCCGCTGGCACAGCAGAAGATACCATTTCATCAAACATACCACTGGATGAAAGCCCTTTGACTTTCGAACCTTCCAAGTATGTGTTTGATCTGCAAAAACACTGGGCTGCAGAAGGAGGGGGTGCGTCTTATGCTCTCTTGACAAGATGTTTTGTACTCGCGAATAGCACCCAGAGTCGCATAAAAATTGTAGATACTTTAGTCAATTTACTAAGGATCATTATCGAGGGTGATCCGGATGCTCTCCTACCTACTGTACGTTCATTCCGTGCCTACAAGTCTTTCATAGGCAGATACAACATTTTCGTATCATAAGTCACATAATGGGTTCCGTTGTATACTTGTACTGATTCTCAATAAAGGTCTGGCTGGCAACGAATGCGATTTCACCGCCATACATATCCCTTGAACTAGGTTTAGGAGGCTCAGCCATTTCAAAAGCATTGAAAAATGTGTGTGGGCTAGACTCTAGGTCATTGAAGACCTTATACGACAAACATGGTGATGCTGGTGATGTCGCTTTTGAGGCGAAGAAGAGACAAAGTTTCACACTGAGAAAGCCAAAGCCACTCACAATAAAAGGAGTTTACCAATCCCTAGTCAAAATAGCCAAGACGCAAGGAACAGGCAGTAGTGAGATCAAGCAACGAGTTGTTGATCGTTTGCTGCAAGATGCCAGAGGAGCAGAGGAGAGTCGATATGTTGTTAGAACTTTGTGCCAACATGTAAGTAATCATACTGTCTTCCCAATACACTCTGTACGGTTGATTTATGGAGCACCATGTCGATCTCTCACTGATCCTGTCTATTAGCTCCGTATTGGTGCAGTGAAAACTACAATGTTGATTGCTTTATCTCGAGCTTTCCAACTATCTAAACCACCGGGAGCAGACTTTCCTCTTAAATCACCACAAGAGTTGGCAAAACTTAAAAAAGAAGGCTTGACTGAGGTGTGGTCCAAAGGTGAAGAAATCGTGAAAGCATGTTTTGCAAAGAGACCCAATTATAACGACCTGGTACCCGTTTTACTTGAGATTGGAGTCTGTGAGGAACTACTAATTAGATGCGGACTAGCCTTACACATTCCGTTGCGCCCCATGTTAGGAAGTATTACTAGGGATCTTGCAGAAATGCTTACGAAGCTTCAAGGTAGAGATTTCAGTTGCGAGTATAAGTATGATGGACAACGAGCACAAGTTCATTGCGATGAGAATGGCAAAGTGTCAATATTCTCCCGGCATCTAGAACTCATGACTGACAAATATCCCGATCTTGTGGCATTAATTCCCAAGATTCGCGGAGAAGGAGTTGATAGTTTCATCATGGAAGGAGAGGTCGTTTCTGTCGATCGGGAAACTGGTGATCTGAAACCTTTTCAATCATTAGCAAATAGAGCGAGGAAAGACGTAGCGATCGGAAGTGTTACTATTAACGTGTGCTTGTTTTCTTTTGATTTGATGTATTTGAATGGCGAATCACTTCTGAATCGAACATTCCGGGAAAGACGAGAACTTCTACGGGGTTTGTTCGTCGAGGTACCGAATCAGTTCACCTGGGTGAAGAGTATCGATGCTACTTCTCAAGACTCAGAGGTTGTTTTGGAATTCTTCAAAGGTGCAACAGAGCGAAAGTGCGAAGGAATCATGGTGAAGATTCTAGATAATCTACCAAACCCCACGTTACCTGAGTCAGAGAAATTTTCAGATGAACCAGTATCCTCTATTCTCCAGACGGCCCAGAAGCATGCAAAAGAGAGAGGAAAGCCTATAGATAAAGAGCCCGAGAAGAAAACTCGAAGAAAAGCTTTATTGTCTACCTACGAGCCTGACAAACGACTGGATTCTTGGCTGAAAGTGAAGAAAGACTACAGTGCTTCATATGATACACTCGATTTGATACCTGTTGCTGCTTGGCACGGCCAAGGACGCAAAGCAAAATTTTGGTCACCAATCCTCCTCGCGGTTCGCAACGAAGAGACAGGCACTCTGGAAGCCGTGTGTAAGTGTATCTCGGGATTTAGTGATACATTTTACAAGGCCAACAAAGAATTTTACGAAGAAGGTGGCGAGCATGTTCTTGGAGGCAAACCGAATTACGTCGATTATCGAGGAGGGAACCCCGATGTATGGTTTGAACCGCAAGAGGTCTGGGAGATGGCTTTTGCGGATGTCACAATTAGTCCAGTTTATAGAGCGGCAATTGGGCTCGTGAGCGATGAAAAGGGATTAAGTTTGAGATTTCCCAGGTTCCTGAAAAAGAGAGAAGATAAATCTATAGAAGAGGCTAGCACAGGTGAATTCCTGGCTACCTTGTGGAGGAAGCAGGAACAAAAGGTTGACGGTGGAAATAATGAAGCACAGGAGGTAGATCCGGAGGAGAACGAGGAATGATCCATCACTTCACGCAAGTTGTTCCAGCTAGATGATAGAGTGCCATCGAGAGGATATTATCTATATTGGAAATGTATTGTAACCTCAATGTTTACCCGTATGTAGCAGAAGCTGCTTCCAGTAATGCCTGCAGACCATACATCTATAATGTTGCTTTCATACTTCAACTGTACACCAACTAAATGAAAGATGGTATCTGAAAACATAGACTTATTCCATCAAATCATATTCCTTAATCGTGAAGAAAGGGGTGAAACAATTGTCCTGGTGCTAAATTTACAAAACCCACTTTATCAGCATCTCGTTGCCGAGCCAACAAAGAAGTCACAACCCGGGAAAAAACAGACGATAATCGATACATTCACAACTCATTGATATTAATTTAAAGTTTACTGCAGCCAATTTCTCTGCACCAATATCTATTATGGCGAGGCTTGTATTATATAGTAGTGATGAGGAATTCCCGGACGTGAATGAAGTTATTCGAGGAAAGGCAGGAACAAAAACATCAAAAAAAGTATCTGGAGAAACAAATAGGAAGGTCGAGCGAAGTGAACCGAAAAGTGACCTGAAGAAAGAGAAAGGATCGATGGTCTCAAATGTGGAGGAATTAGGGAGTGATGAAATAGAAAGCTCTAAGAATGCAAAGCCTAAAGCTAGGAAGCGCGTTTTGAAGCAGAACTCAGATAATCCGCTTTTGAAACCGTTGAGTATGGGTACGAAGCGATCGAGTACGGAACCTAGAAAGATATCGGCTTCAAATTCAGCGGTTCCGATGACGCGAGTGGCGAAGGAAGAACCAAGGCGGAAGGCAACGGTTGTGAAACCTAGGATACCGGATTTTGAAGAGGAGCGCAAAGTTGTAGCTCGGAACTATAGGGTAACAGACTCGGAAGAGGAAAAGGATGAAGATGATTCGGGCGATTTATCAGATTTTGTACCGATGCCAAAAGTGTTGAAGGATGAACCAAAAAGGAAACCAATGGCTCCAAAGCCTAGGGTACCAGATCTTGATGAGAAACGAAGACCAACGGCTAAGAAATCTACGATAGCCGATTCAGAAGATGAAGACGAAGATGATGATTCAGATGATCTATCAGATTTCATAGTAGACGACGATGACGATTCTGACGTGTTCAAAACACCACCAAAATCGACTCGAAGACTGGTCAGGGGTCGTAGAACAGTGGTTGAAGATTCGAGTGATACTGATACAGAGGAGGAGATTCTACGACAACTACTAGATAAAACTACACTCGACGACAAAGATACACCACCTGCATTCAACCCACCTGTCTTACAGCCACCAAAGAGAGACGAGAAAGTTGAGATACGACCAGGGACTTCTTCTAGTTTTGATGACAATGGAGCTGTTTTACGATTGTAAGGAAGTCGATCTCATGGTATTAGAGATATGCTAACATATTCAAGCTCCCCCTCACCCAGAAAAGTATCCAAAGGAGTCAAACTATCAACACCCCCAGGAAGCCCGGAATTAAAACCTCGAGGCCTGGCATCGCCTAAAAAGTTATCCCGCATACCATCTACACCGCACCGTCCCAGTATGGATAGTTTCTGGTCTCAAGATCTTGTCAACGATTGGAACGATCAATACTCTCCCATGAAAACCCTCCAACCCATCTCCAAACCCAAACTTCAACCACCCTCAACTTCAGGAGGTACATCTCTCTTCAAGAAACCCCCTTCGTTCAAAGCTCCTCGCATAGACAAAGATTCCAAAAAAGCCTTCTCAATCTCCAAACACATTATCGCCTCCGATTTCCTCCTCGAACTCGACACCAAAATCACATCCGGCCGCATTGCCGAACTCTCCGCCTCTACCGGCGGCGTCCAAATCATCTGGTCCAAAAAACTCATCACAACCGCCGGTCGCGCAAATTGGAAACGCGAGACCATCAAATCTCCCCTAACCACCAATACCGATGGCAAAGCCCCCACCACATTCCGTCACTACGCATCCATCGAGCTCGCCGAAAAAGTCATCGACGACGAAAACCGTCTCTTGAATGTTCTCGCGCACGAATTCTGTCATCTGGCCAATTTCATGATCTCGAATATCAAAACTAATCCGCACGGAAAAGAATTCAAAGAATGGGCTGCGAAGTGTTCGAATGAATTTGGGGATCGCGGGATTGAGGTTACGACGAAACATTCTTATGAGATAGAGTATAAATATGTGTGGGAATGTACGGAAGCAGGTTGCAAAACACTGTTTAAGAGACATTCGAAAAGTATCGATACGCAAAGACATAGGTGTGGTGCTTGTAAGGGGGTTTTGGCACAGATCAAACCGGTGCCTAGGGGAGCGGCAAAGAATGGAAAGGAGAATGAGTATCAGATTTTTGTAAAGGAGAATATGAAGAGGATCAGAGACGAGAATCCGGGGAGTCCGCAGAAAGATATTATGGGGTTGGTAGCGAAGAAGTATCAGGAGCAGAAGGCTATTAAAGCTGCACAAGCAGGGGAGAAGGAGAGTACGCCTGATGATGGGGATGTGGAGATTGTTGCGAGGAAACTCGATTTCTTGGATTTGACGAGTCCGTGAGAGTGAGAGTGAGAGAAAAATCAAATTGGAATTTGAGATTTGTTGAATAACTAATGAAATTCAGACTATTCAGAATAATGATCATCATAATGACAGCTAATTCTGTAAATACGCATTGCTCTGTCCTGACAAAGGGAATGGAAATTTGAAAAACAACCTGTGAAACATAGCAAATCCTCAGCATCCAGCCAAATCCATACTAAATCGATCTCCATTCCATTTCGATCTCGCCCATCTCCCAATCCCCTTCCATCCGTTCCTCTCTCATTCCTCTTCCCCCTTTCATCATCTAAACCTCATCAAAAAGGCCCCAATCCTTAATCTTGAAAGTTTCCCAAATCTTTGCTGCATGTTCGACAGCATTCTCAATCAATTTTCCCTGTTTCCCCAATTGCAAATCCACATCGTCGGCTGAATATTCGCCTTTAATATGAGGCACGTTAATTGTTACCAAGATATCTGTACTCTCTCTTTCTAAACGGATAAGATTGAGCACTATGGCCGTGAAATCTGGAGCTGAGGCGCGGGAGTTGGGATCATGAGGGGGTGTTTGAGTGGCGATGAGTGTGTAGGCGGGAGTGTTTTCGCTGGGAGTTGTCAGATTTGGGTTGAGTAGATGAGGCTTGGTCATGTGACGTAGCGGGGATGGGATGATGGGGGATAGAGGATAGAGGAATGTGAAAAGAACAAAAGAATGTGAGGTAAGGTACATACGGCAATTTAGAAAACTTGGTATCAGTAATCGACCACACTTTCACAGTATCCAAATCGGAATCAACAATATCCTCCAAATGAGTCGTCATAGCCGCTCCATCGGTCGCGGGGCTAGAGCCCGCAGTACCGACTCGCTCGGTGATATCGAATATGATACTGGTGAAACCATCTTTATCCAAATAGACTTCTTGATGGTCGGGAACTTGTCTTATTGTACTGTGGAATTGTTAGTTTGGTGCTGATCGTGATGGTTTTGAGTTTTCGTCAGGAGTGGATGTGGGGCTCTGCATGTGTTTTGATGTTGGTTGGTTTTTTTCGAGAAAGAGCTTACCTGACGTCGGCGAATGTAGATGGAAGGTCGACTATGAGGGCGCCGCCGAAGAGTGGAGTGGAAGAATATGTAGTCATGATTGTAGATATTTATTTGGTATCGTATCGTATGAGAGTGTGGTGATATGATGGGGTTGTTGCTTTTGATATGTTGTGTTGGTAGGGCTGCAGTATGGGATGGCAGGGGAGGACGTCACTTGTTTGATGATTCGCTTGATGAGGAACAGGGAAGATGGAAGATTGAAGAAACCACCAATGTCTGCCCAATACTTCTCTTGGGTATTAATTTTCGTTTTATTGTTTTGAGTGAGAGGAATGGGGTGAAGTGTAATTAAGTTGTAAAGTGTGAATATGAGATGAAAGGAGAGAAGTGTGAGTAAATTTTGATAGTCTTGACGATCGGGTACACTTGCCCCATCCTCCACCTGGGCAACTTTTAGCGGCTGAGTTGGCTTTCCTTCCAATTTTCATTGCATCTTTTGCAACATTCACAGAATCCAGCCAAAGAGTTCAAAACAATGCTATCTTTTAAAACTTGGAGTCGAATGAGTGCCAATTCGGGTGGTAGCAGATCCTCAACACGCAACTTCCTCTCTAAAGCATTATATCTATCTCCTCCGTTGTTAACATATCACGGAATATGTACGCAAGACATCACACTTACATATTAGTAAAGAAGGCGAGATGGGCAACTGGGCTACCTTAAGCTATTGCTGGGGTCAGGTTGGTGGCTATGTAACTAATGTCGCAAATTTGGATTGCAGAACACGTTCTATATCTATGCAAGAGCTTCAGGCCACACTGAAAGATGCCATCAAAGTCACGAAGTGTATGGGATTAAAGTATCTATGGATTGATTCGATTTGCATTCTCCAAGGTTCCGATGTTGCTGCCCAGGCAGATTGGCTATCCGAGGCAAGCCGCAGGCGAGATTACTACAAACATTGTGATTTTTGTATTGCTGCCGATGACGCATCTTCTGACCAAATTGGGTTTCAGCGCATTTTACGTACACAAAGGGCAAATGTTTCTATTTCCATGCCGTTAGCTCACTGGCGACGCGCAGGGTCTTGTACAATATATCTTCAAGCAGATGTTAACCCCCATACCCCGGTCGGCGTCGACCCATTCTCGCTACTAGAGGATGGACGCTTCAAGAACACGTTCTCTCTCCACGCGCTCTACACTTCAATCATGAACAACTTGTCTGGAATTGCCAGTTTCAGAAACTCTCAGAATCGAATGTGAATCCGGAAATCTTGTCGTCAAGCGATAGACCGTGGCATGGTATGGACGCCAAAAGATTTTCCTTAACTCCAATCCATGGGGAAGAGTATATATATGACAACTTTGGCCCCTTATATGCTCGGTTACTCAACATAAAGAGGCGGTGGTACAGCTTAGTCAATGAGTATGCGACTCGTGCTCTTACTTTTGAGACTGATAGACCCATTGCGTTGGCTGGATTAATACAAGAAATTGAAGCACAGTCCGGATTTACTTATTGGGTAGGTATATGGGCCGAAGACGCCCATGCTGGTCTTCTCTGGAGAGTAACTGGGCGAGTGAACATCCCAGCAGCGTATATTGCACCTTCATGGAGCTGGGCCAGCCTCGACATCAGCCCCTACAATGATTCTTATGACCATGGTTTTTATCCATTCGGCGGTTGGAAAATGGACAGCTCAAAATTTAAGCCAATATATCTAGCTGTGAGATCGCGACTGTTGATGGAATTCCCAACGGACACCTTCTAACTGCGAAGCTCACACTCCATACCCATTGTCTTCGTTTAAATCAGCGGGGATTGTTAAGTGATGTGGCTATAGCGACCCCCGCCGTTTTGTTACCATCAATGGGTGCGAGAAGGGAAATTCTCCTAAAGTTTGATGTCGAACCGTCGGAACTCATGCGTTCAGAACCGTTGTTTCACCACCTCCACAAGTGCTTTGCAGCCAAGGGTAAAAGGTGTTCTTCACTGAGTATCTTCTTGCATCCATTTTTTCTATAGTCTTGTGGCAAAATCGAGAACTCGTGCTGTACTATTCTCCCAAAAACCAGCTCAAGCTCCATCACCGAACTTAACATACACGAATCGTCATGTTGTGTTACGCGGGACAAAGGCTGTAACTGAGCAGCTCTCTACTACGCAGCGCAATTCCAATAACCTCATCATAGTACGGATTGCAAGCATCAGCGAATCGACAGTCAGATCTTGCGGACGGATGTACCAAAAGAAACCTAATATTGGCAGTACAATGTGTCTCCTTGTCCACCCCGGTACAGAAGAGGGAACTTTTAAGAGGGTAGGCTTGGCACAGATTTCAGACCTCAAATATGGCAGTTCATTGCCATGGGAAATGCGTACTATCGTACTGGTTTGAGGTATTTTTCCTTTCCATCGTTCAGCGTCAGTTTTAGCAATATGAAATTATCAACGGTGTGACAGTCAATTCATATATTCAGCTCACAACCCGACTTCAATGAAATCGTATTCAATAGCATATGTTTGGGATTGCAGTTTAGCTTTGAGGAATCTCGAATAACAATCATTCTGGCTGCTGTATCTAACCAAAGCAATTGATATATTGAATCCAAGATAGCTCAAAATATTCAAGCTTTCACACTCTTCATTCAAATACTAGTTGGAATCAACAAAAACTGAATCCATCAGCACTCTTTCCCCGTGAATGAAAATCGAGCAATGTTTGGCATCTGCAAACTCCTTAAATAAGTGATAATACCTACATCCTTAACCTTATCATGCAAAAAAAAATAGAAAAAATTCATCTCATCTCTAGAGTAATAGGAAATCGCAAAAACAAACTCTTTCATCAAAACAAAATCGTAAATCACACTGTAAACCCCATACTATACACACATACATACAATAACAACCCCCCACCCCTTCCCTCACCAAAACCATCACCAAACCTATCTCCACAGCCCCATAAAAAAAACCCACCCGCCTCCAAAAAAATCCCCCTCCTCACACCACCCTTCCCCCCCCCTTTCAAAAATGCAAAAATAAAGTTCTCTGAATAATCAGAAGGTGTGTTACAAAGATTTGAAGAATGGAGTATCATGGGCATGAGCCACGGTCATCTCTGGTAAAAGGCAAGAAATGAATTCTGAGCTAGCTTGTCCCACTCCGACTTGTAAACTGTCGTTTGGGAATATATATATGAGTAAAAAAAAGTTGTGGTGATGGCTGGGCTGGCTCGCGGGTGACAGGAAAAATGGCACACACAAATTCGTAATTCTCATTCAATGGAACAACACCTCTCTTTCAATTGATTCAACACCACCACTTTTTATATTTATAATAAGAATAATATGGTAGTTTTATTAATTCGATATCAGAGATTAATTCTATATAAGTTTTATGATTCTAAGTGCAATATTCGTAGAATAATTCATTACGGAAGATCGACTCGCTTCCATTGACAGAGACTTTTAAATTCGCTATATTCAGAGCTTTAAGATTCAGTATAAGATAAAAAAATTAATATCGATGCTATATAGGGTACTGTTTTGAGTGATATAATTATATAATTGATATAAGGTAGTGTTGTGGTTCAATTCCCTCTGAAAGTGAGTTGTTTCGAGGGGGAAACCACTCTAAAAACCACCCTTTTGACCACCTTTTCACCACCCAGTGAGCTGTCCTTTCATTTTAATAACATCCCTAAGCCTCTGAGGCATAGTATCTACTAGTTTATTGATATGTTCAATAGTAACTTGCTCCCAACCCTCATTTATAAGCTCCCGCATGGTTGTATCGTCCCAATGGGCATGCCTCCGAACGACTTGTTTTGGGATTTGCCAGATATTTTCGATGATTGAGAGATCAGGACTATCATGACAGTTTTGATAGGTTTCTAAACTATGATCTCTCTTCCATTTCTTCACTATATTGTCCTTCTTGCCCCCATAGCCGTGTCCTGAATCACCATCTTCCTCGAGTACGAAATCCTTCGATACAGCTAACCATCGCTTTACCTCCCCATCCAATATAGTATCGACATAAACCTTATGGGACAACTTGCCATTCCGGTTCCCAGGAACATCGTAATATATAAGATTGCTCTTAAAGTTGTAGCCCACTGCCGCCCAGCAGTGTTGCTTATTGCGGTGTTCCTCCTTTTCTACCCCTCTGAGCTGAATACACTCAGGACAGAGCCTCTGGCCTAGCTTTCTAATGATCCTATACTTTCCCTCAGGCCCGAAACCCCAATGACACTCATCAGAGAACCTAACTCTTCTCCAATCCTCCGGATTAGGGTATTTAGCTAGCATATCGCGGGCAAATTGGAGTCTAGCGGCAGCTGTTCTCTGTGTAACCCATCCCTTGCAACAAGCTATACATTTTCGATATCCCATAGATCCCATAGCTCGTGCAATAGTCCTTCCGGATTGGTCTAATCCACATGCCTCTCCCAATTGCTTCCAATTGAGGGATCTAGCCTCAAAACCCTCCGTTTGGATCATGATCTCCATAGCACGTATATCGCGAGGAGTAAGGGTTTTTTTTGCTCCTCTAGTCTCTTTACGTACTGTAGAATCATGTAGACGCCTTGGATCGCGATCATGCCAATGTCGATATCCGGTGCGAGGTGCGACATTGTAGGCCCTGAATACTCGAGCTTTGAAAGTAGTGACAATTCCATCAGCTATTCCATCAAGCATAGCCTGGGTTTTAGCTTTAACAGGGGTTCTATTATGCTGTTGGGGATACGTTTTATCCTCATAGCGATCGCGGCGAGTTGATACCATTATGTTGTGATTTAATAATTAATTTTGAAGTTGTGGTAATTGACGTGAATTGAGGTTAAAAGGACACGTGTGCCATTTTTCGTGTCACTCGCGAGGCTGGCTGGGTAGGGCGCTTGGACCAGGTGTCGGGGAATGTTCGGGGGTGGGAGTGGAGTGGAGTGGGTTGAACATAACACAATGCTACTATTCACGATATCGTAGGAATATGGATATTGGGAAGGGGATGTGTTAGGATATGTCAGGTTTGATAGATGTTATGAACAAGAGGGATCTTGATGGATTTGTTTGCTGTTCGTAAAAGAAATAAAAGATATTAATTACACTGAAATTAGTCTTTTATTCAATAATTCCTTCTTCTAACATCTCCTTCTGTCTACAACTAAACAGAGCCATGTGCGTGAGGAGCTTATTATATTTAATACCTACCTACTTAGAGTAGAGGAGAAAATAGAAAATTAATAACACTGTCTACAATTGCGATTATTATATTCACATCGATTGCGCGAGTGACAAGACATTCTACTCCTCAACCTTCAAACCCATTATTCAATTAATTCATCTCTCCTCACCTTCCACCGCTCATAATTAAGACTTCCAATTCCAATTCCAATTTCAAACCCGAACCCAAAAGATCAAACAATCCATGGTATCTTGACTCCATAACTCCATTCCCACCTCATAAACATTACCATTTCCATCTTCTCATCCATCCATTCGTAGTATCATGACCCATCTATATATTATTCCACTTTCCCATCTTCCCTTGTCCCACAACCATCATTATCCGCTAGCATTATTTCTATGCAGTCCCATCGACTTCATAACCAACACTCTTACCCCATCTCTTTTCTCTCCTTATTGCCCACCCTTTAATTGCAATCACCAAGATAATCCAAGCCATCAAAAATGTGATGAGACCCATGGAAACTGTAAAAACAAACATCGCATCGAGATCATTTATTTCAATTGCCTTGACAGTATCTTTGCTCTACAATTCTGTTAGTGTTGGCACATCCAAGCGAGAGAAGGAATGACATACGCTAGCCATGAAAATTAAACCTCCAGCCATCAAACAGAAAGCTGTAATGATTTCCGTAGGGGGTCTACCAGGAAGAATCGAAGTTGGTGGTGAAAGGTAGAATACAACATAAGTAGCAGCACGTGCAAATGCTGCACCCACAAGTAAAGTTCCCCATTGTCCATGAATCATAGTTGAGACCATTGAATGTTGATGGTGAGAACTCATCATCATTCCTAATAGCATAACGACTAAGGCCGGAATTGGGTTCATCGAAAACCTATAGGATTTCGGTTCTTGAGCTTCTGGATGATAGGGTGACATTTGAGATGATGATTGTTGAAGTGTGGTATTCAAAAGGTTGCGAATTTTGTTCGACTCAATGAGCATACCGCACTGTACGAGTTAGTAGTGTTTAGGAATTATTATCTTAAAGACTCACCAATCCACCACCAATAAACATAATGGTGATTGAAATATGCTCGAGATCTTGTGCGCTCCATGCACTCCCCCAAGCAGCCAGATGTTCTAAGAAAACATTCGTGGAGCCATAAAAGAAGATGAGGAAACTTTCTACGAACTCGGCGGTTGGAGTAAATCGTCGCTCATTGTCAGATTTAATGTTCCAGGACCAACCAATTTCGGCGAAGCAACCTGCCCATCGACCAAGAGTCAAGATTCCATACCAGAAGAAAACCGAACCCTTTATGAAGTGCGCAAGACCACTGTAAATTTCTGCTCCTTTCTGCGTTGTCATTTAGTTTCTGAAGATGTATGAATTCATGGAGCTGGCAAAACTTACAAATAAACCACCATATGTGACGAATCCAGATGTGAGAATAGCAAAACCAAGGAGAAGGATTATTCGATCCACAACGTCACATGAAAATTGAATTACTCTCAAGAGACGAGCAGAAAGTAATCCCGGAAGTCGTTTCGACAAATATTGATCCACCTGGGTACCTTTCATCAACCCCACTTTTTCAAACTCGTCATTTTCCGATTCATTTAATGTATTTTCATCATCTCCAGACAGAGACATCGATTGGCTTCGTAGAGATTCGGTACCTGGCTCAGTACCTTGACCACTATCATCCGATAATCTGGGGATAGGTTTAGGTCGTTCGTGCATGCGGGTATGCTCTGCTATCGCTTCTCTCGAAACTGGAATATACCCGGAGTTCTCCTGTCCCTTCTCGCCTCTGCGCCCCGCGTAGGCACTGATGACCCCTAATAGCGCTTGTGCAGTGACTACGCATATCAAAATCCACCCCAATTTATGATGAAAATTATTCGGATAAAGGTCTGGAGTGGAAGCATTGTATATTATGCTGCAGAGGAGACCGCCACCGTTCAAAGCTAGAAACGCGAATTGTGTAGGGAGACTTAGTCGAGATCGAGAGATGGAGAGCATCACACCTAAAATGTATTAGATTTTGGAGACATTTCACTGTTCCCGAACTACTCACATATTGGCAGAACGAACACCCATCCTATGGTCATGAGTATAATGTGAGCTACCATCAGACTGCCATGTTCAGGATATCGAAAATAACTAGAAGGTTCAGCCACCACGGTGTCCATGCCGGGCGAAACTGTGGCTGTAGAAATAGCTGTGGCTACCGGACTCATTGGCATGCTCATATCCATTTCCGGTTCTTCGTCGCCGTGTGCGGCTATTAGAGGTGCAAGTCCGAGCAATATAAGACTGCTACATAATGCGAGGTTTCGCAGATGTGAAGGCATCTGATTTAATTTCGTACTGTGGTAGTAGTGGAAGATGCGATGATGGTAAGAAAAGTATCGAGTGTGAAAAAGAGCACAATGTAAAGAATCTAGGGTATCTGGGTATCGTATCTCAAGGGGTATGGAACAGTGAAGGATGAGGTAAAAAGAAATCACAAGTGCGGCGTTCACCAAATATGTATACTGATGATGAAAACAAAATAGTGGAACAAAAGAAAGAGATGTTCTAGAAGAATGGTCTTGTCTTGTCTTGTCTTTACGCCGAAAAGGAAAATGTGTGGGTAAAGAAGTCGGAAGGAGGTAGCAACATTGGCCGCAGAATGACGACAAATAAATAGGTTTCCCGTGATGGAATGAATCATGGGAATGAGGTAAAAGCAACGGAAAGAAAGGATTTTTGCCAACGGTGATGACTCCGTATGTTCCGATATCAAGAATTTCTTACTCCACTGACCAAGTTCGCGCCCTATGGATTGAAATGCAAATGTGCATATACATAGGCGTCAGCCAGCTAGTACGAGGTTCCAAATGACTAGGGATTGGATATTCGGCATTGTCTGTGCGAACGATCGAGATTGGGATTTTGGTGGGTTTACTACCTTATCTGACCTTACCTGCCTTGGGTGCTCTTGAGTTGAGTCTTGTTGCTTCCAAATGAATTCTAGATTGCATATGATTTTTTTCGATGAGCTAGGTACCTTGGCTTGCTTGGGATACAAATGTAATTTGATTTGATAGATGACTAATAAGCTAACATTTGGAAGCAACAACTTACAAGCTAACTTATAACTACCGCAAGCGGCGGCATTTGAAATGGGTGATATCATCCTCATCCGACTTTTCCATTGCATTTGATGTTTTCGTCTCTTTCCTTCAAAAGGACTATACATGATGTGATATAGTAGAGTAAGTAGTTAATTATTGAATATATGACGTCAGCTGCGTGTAATGAATTCTCTCTAAATTCTCACATCATTGCGTTGTCTTCTTTTTCTTTGTTTTCATTCAGAATTCTCGGTATCTACCTAGTAGCTCAGGTGGGTGATTGAAGCTAGGTGAGAAAGCCATGAGAAAAGCTATAGGGCTTGGCGTGCATGAATATGACGTGGGGCGTTAGACTGAACATTGAGTGTTTATTAAGCTCTGTACAAGTAGCGTGCAAGGTGATCAAAGTACAGTATTAATTGTATCCACAGCAGAACATCAACACTCAAAATGAACAACATCCGCGCAACGAAACAACCGCGCGACAAGATATACATGCACATATAGATACTGTCTCTTCTTGTCTCTACTTGGGATTCCAAACATATCATCTTGGCTAACATGAAACTCATAAATGAGACTCAGCACAGCATTTCTTTCCCTGCAAGGACTTCAATCCAAACACACATTGACTCATCAACCATCTCAATTACCTAGTATATCATACATCTGACAACGCAGCTGACATACCGACCTTACCATACTCCGGTCCTTAGACTCACAATTACTAATAGATACTTAATAATTAATAATACACTTTCCACCAGCACCTTGCATTAAAACACCAAGTCAACGACAAGGCTGCACCAAAAAGAGAAAGGAAAGAAAAAAAAAGCTCCTCACATGAAAAGCCTTCACCAATAAGATGCATTTCCAACCCAACATCATGTCCCCGCTCGTGACTGAGATCATTATGATAGCTCGAGGATAATACCATCCGTTCCACCCATGCATGCATGTACGTACGAGCTTATTACTTGACTAGTAGTAACCTCTCTCGAGCCTCTACTACACTACATAGCACCCTTATGCTTACTATCCATGCTCTATCATTGAAGATCATCCAACCACCACGTTTTCTTTCGTTCCTTACCTCCACATTTATTACTTCAGCAATCGAGCCATTTCAACGACACTCAACTCCGACATTTCCGAAGACTCATTCGTGATTCATCAATATCCTCACCCATTTCTCTTTCAGTAAGGTAGGAATAAATACCCGGCAGGCTGTGAAAATTCTTCAATACCTATTCATGGTGGGACAATTCTCATCACGATTTCGACTTCTTGCATGCGCCCATCGTGGCACGAGGAACAGAATGAATCCTCAGTCCATGCAAGTGGTAACGGAAACATCGGAATCATCATTCATCGTGACTACAGAACAACTCACAGGGCGTTTTTTTCCCTAACTTACACATGTCATGTTGACATGTTGTATTAACTACCTTGGAAAATAATCATCTGATTA